TTTCGTTTTCTGTCGAACCGGTTAGTTTGTTCTTCAGTTCGTTACTGGTCGTCATTACCGCGTAAATTCTGTCTTCAATGTATTGTATCTCCCACTCAGCTAGTAACGGGACTTTCACATTTGATGGATGGTGAGACGTGTGGGCGTGTAATCAATTCTCCTCATGGTCCTGTACAAAGCATTAACTGATGACTATGTTCTCGATTAGGTATACCTGCTATGGTGCATGCAGTAAGAAACATAAAAGGTAAATCGGCCTAGATATTTAACCGAACTTGGCGCACGAAGAATGCAGCTAAAATGACTGTAACCCTCTTCAGTTTACTACACACTTATAACTAGGGCATATATGCTGAAAGTAGCGAAGGATTGCAACGATCCGAGGGTTAATAGTTTCGTAAGCTTGCTATCACAATTAGATGGGCCCTTATGCAGGGCCCAACTCAACTGTTCATTGCATTGTCATTAGTTGCTCCTAGTTGGCCGGTTACGTTGTTGGAAATCAGACGTCAGTTTCTTAATCTTAGGACTAGTGGTTGGTAGTGAAGTTATCCTTATTTATCGAAAAACGCTCATCTTTCTGGCCTTTTGAGGCAAACCACTGGATATTATTCTTAATCGTTCTGCTATCTGGCTTTGGTCACTTTGGCGGTATCCAGACCCACACAACCGGTCTTATCCTACAACTAGCTTTGCACAGTTTTAGAGTCACCATATCTGTTATACAAAGCTGTGTGGATGCGCGAACATCTGTTGCCTTACTTTATTATTTTCCTTCTCTTACATTTGTAGTTTTTCCGGTCCCTGTTTCACACCCTAATTTGATGTACCACTGTACGTGACGATGTCCGCAATGCTGCTGTAATTGTGCCATTTGAGTTCCCCTTGTCACAGCACCGATAGATTCTTGACTTCAAACGTCGCTTATTGCGCCACGCTGCTCTATCCTGTTAGCTGTACCCGACCTTCACGCCCTAACACCTAAATCAACAAGCTACGATTGTATGATAACTGCTTACCGGAAGGTCGGTGAACTTACCAGAATCACGGAGATGAATCTTTGCTAGCACTGGGCACCATGCAACCAGCTAGTTGAATACTCAAACTTAGTCTGCGATGGGACGACTAAATCTGGTGGACTATTTAAGTTTAGAAACGGAGAACCTATAGTCGGCGGACAAACTGTGCACATTCTCCTGACTAATCTGCTCCACTGATCGCAGAAAGTTATCCACCAGTGGGACCAAGGGCAATATGAAAGCACCTTGCTCGTTTGGATAGGGAGCTTAAGTAAAACAGTTCAGTGTGTTTCGGAGCTGTTTGGTGTGTAGAGCATGCTGGATACTCTAGCTGCATCTGATATTTAAAAGGCTGCCTCACCCTTAACCGTTCTGCTGCTCCTGTTCCGTTTTCTCTCGTACCTACGCCATCCAAGGGCGATGATACATAACTCTGCCAAGAGTGGCCTCGGGCATAGCATGAGCAAACTGTATTAACCAACTTGGGTAAACACTCAAGAAGGTTAACCGCGAGGGCTTATCTAACCACAAGTGTCTCGGTCTAACCCAAGTAGTATCCACTTTGTTTACGTCCATTCTAGTTTGCCCCCTCACGGTGGAGTGGGGATCTCGAATGCAAGAGCGAGCAGGTTTTTGACCAGGGTAGGGCTGCATCAATCAGGCTTTCGCTTGGGGGTAGGTGTCAGATCAGCGTACCCGCTATCGAAAGCTGGCTGTGGCCCTCTTCCTTTGCTCCAATTACACCTCACCTCATCTATTCGCTCCGTTATTTTTCACGCACTTGACCGGAAATATGCACCCATGATGTGTATGAACATCTCGCCTTCCCTACACATAAATCGCGTCTGGGTTCACGGCGAACTTTCGGAAATATGTTTAACAATTGGTTCTCCATACGACTCTCCCGTTTCCATTTAATTTTAACCCATACCTCATCATGTAAGAATTTCCTTGTATTGTTACTATGCTGCTTCAGAGCCCCTCCAGAGCCAGGATTGGTGGGACTGAATACCACTGACAGCTTTCTGTATGACAATCTCGTGGTCACATTGTCAGGTCCGAGTTAATTCCGTGAAGAGACCTATCACTTTGCTATTCACTGGACACTTGACAATGGCATGGTACAGTTTCAGGTCCATCAGTCTTTTATCAGCTGTATGACCCGTTGACCAGGAACTACCGGTGATTAATCAGTTCCCGCATACAGTCAACTCCATTAATAGCCTCAGATCGTGACTACTAAATTTGCTTTCTTTGTTGCGAGACAGGAGTTGTCTTGATCGGTTGGCCAACTTAACCATCAAAAGAGGCCTTAAAGTCGCTGACACGGTTGAGCTGGCGGCTAAAAATGACCAAAATGGAGACCGTCGTTTTCTTTCGCCCCCAGATCGACCTGTAGTCGAAAGAATTGCGCGCCTACGTTGTGATCCTTAGGTAGCTGGCTCGAATCCGCGTAGGTGCGTGTGACCTTGCGGTATAAACGGCCTTCGCCTGGTTGTTGGCCCGAGCAAGTATTACATTGGCCGTTTCATCGATTACCGGATAATGCTTTCCGCATTTTGCACGACGTTAGAGGGCATCAAGTTAGACGTGGGCATTCGTTGACTTTGTGGTGAGAACTGCAGTCTATGACCACATGGTTTGGTGCCGTTGGTCTCTCTTGCCTTCTAGCCTTGGGTCTGCGCCACTTTATGCTTGGCTTGAGACATTAGCGGATATGATTTGCGACGAGCACTCGTGACTTGCTTGCTGTCGTCCGCCGGTTGGACTGTATTGCTAACTATTGTGTGACGCTAGGCTATACAGGGAGTGTTGCAACGCCTTCGATTGATTCGACTTAGTCAAAACGGGAAATCCGACTGTTGTGAACTTCGCCGCGCGCAGACACGCAGCTAATTAAATTCGGTTGAATACACCGCATGGTGTAGGAATTATCAAGGTCCGTATAGTTTTCCATACGCTTAACTAACTGTGGAGAATGGTTGAATGTATAACGCTGTGATAACGTCGGTTTTAGTGTATGGATCAGCGATCTGACCAGTTCGAAGTTAAGACATTAACGGTTTGTCGTCTTGGACCTCCGGTGCTTATGTAGTATTGCTCACGTCTGATGGGGCACTGGGTGATCATTCTTGATGTGTGCCCATTTGTTTTTGGCAAGACGTTTCCTGATGCCTCACTCGGGTCTTTGTTGAATCTTAACCGCTTACATGGGTTTGAACATGCCCACCGTGTGGCAGTTGACCGGCTTCTTCGGTGTGCATTATACCCTGTGGCTGCCCAGGCTAGGTGAAACTTTGAGGTAGCCAGTCCATGACGTGGCATAAAGGTCTAAAGAAACTGAATGAGAGACTTGGTCAAGCTGATGCATGCCGTCTTCGTGGATGGGGCTCTCGGTATTATCCATACCAATGGTTGAAGACCCGATCAAACGTGGCGCAGTCGCACAGTCAGTGAAGTACCTGCAATCGGTTTCTTGCATCTAGTGGTTAATTTCATTTCGTCCTATAAGTTTAACGCACCTACTTGATTCCGTTTTTTAACATTCTATTTGCCTTCAACTTGATTTCTTGTCATTTTCAGCTATCCTCATTCTGATGATGGGAGTCGTGGCGACTGAATCCATCGCACTTCGGTGCCCGGATCATATTTATTCAACCGAATTGAACACATAATGAGACGTAGTCGCCAAGCGTTTTACACTTCTCTGTATTTTGGCGGACACAAACCACACACGACTGCTCGCGACCATACCGGAGGAATAGACATGGACCTCCTTTGGGGGCGCTTTTGTAAACCTCAGCGAAAGGTTGCAAGGGTTTGTACGTTTTCGTATTTATAGAAGTTAAGCCGGCTCGTAGCCTTAAGGACCACAAGTCCGCCTTGTAATCCGAGGGCGTACGTTCGAACCTTGCGTAGGGACCGAGCGACTTTCGCAGTATCCTTAACGCACCTGCGACTGGTGGTGGTTTCGCGGCAAAGATGCGTCGGTACTACTGAGGCTTTATGTATAGAAGTTCACCTCGTTAGACGAAGGAGAACAGTACTGGTTGTTATTTGCTAGCATTATCACTGAAATGACATTGTATATTCGTCATACACAACAGTTTGGCGGGTTTATAAGTCGGCAAAAGACATCGGGTGCGAGTTCTTTGAAGAACTATGAGGTCTCCACAACAGCAATCGTTAGAACTATTCCGCTACCTCTTACTGGCAGTTCACTGCCACGCGATCACCGTCACTTGTGCGTAGGCTGTGAGGTCGGCTTCACCTATAGAGTATCGTATCGGCGACCTACAAATTATATGCCATATGGAGCTATAGAAACCTTGGTGGTCTCATGCTGCATGGGTCTCAACCATGGCTTTTTTACGCCACTATAATCACAAGTTAGATCTCCTTAACTTCCTCTTATTCCTTAGTCTGATGATTGTCTTATTGAGTACGTGCTTTTGTCAGCATCTCAAGACATCGCTGGGACTTTGCTGATGAATTCTCAGTCGTATGTTTCGCAGCTGCTTTTGGTCGTTGTCCGTAACTAGAGCATGGGTTCTTGAATCATTTATGGGTGTTTCTCGTTGGGCTTTTTATCTCTCTCGCCTTTACTCCAGACACATCATTTATGGGCTGATTGTTCATGATCTCTGAATCGGAGGCTTTTTGTTGTTATTTGAATGCGTTGTAAAGTTGATGACAGCGATGGTTGCTGTGCTACTAATGGTTTCTGAACTGAACGCGATTTTTCTCACCCTACTTCGGCCATAACCGATATGATCCGTTTTTGAGTCTCGCAGTCATCTTCGGTACCACTTGTTCGCCTACCAGTTTGACACCAATTTTTGGTAGTTTGTAGAGCTTAGACCTTGCTATATTCATGTTATAATGCATTCTTGTGTTTTGCAAATGTTAACACGTCTGCACACGATCACAGTTCGCTGATTAATGGTTTGTTCGTGTTTTATCGACTCGTTTTGTTCACAGGAGATTGCTGGGTGGTCGCTGCTCTAGCTGCTATCTCTGGCCAGCCCATTCTGCTTGAGCGAATCATACCAGCTGGCCAGTCTTTTCGTCCTGATTGGTACGCTGGGATGTTCGCATTCCGATTCTGGCGTTTCGGTCGTTGGGAGGAAGTTATCATTGATGATTTAATACCCGTTCGTCCTAGTGGGCAGCCGCTTTTCGTGCACTCTGGCCGATCGACAGAATTCTGGCCCACACTTTTGGAAAAGGCCTATGCGAAGTACGTTACTATACATCGATAACCCACATTCAGCAGATGCATTTTAAATTTTGCTCTTCATTTAGGTGACATATCAGTCGGGTCTCCTTTTCTTAACATCATTTTCTGTTTAGTAAAACAGTCTTTTCTTTCGACCATGATTCAAATAGGAAACTGCGATGCACCCATACCATGCCTCGTACCACCACGCTGGCAATAGCAACTACAAACAAGCTAGATAAGGTGGACGAAATTCCATGAAAGAGAGCTTATATGGGAAACCTATTTGTGCAGTGCTTAAGCTAACAGCCAGATGTGACAAATTAAGTGCATGAGCCCAATTGACCCCGCGAATGCATCACACCATATGAACTCTCCTCTCTGATGCAATCGGTTCCACGATACCTCTACAAGAGGAATGAACTCACCAACCTGTTCAAGCTTTTCTGCAACATTATCGATAGGCAACCCTGAGGCTCCTGTCAGCCAGTTGTAGCAATAGAAACTTCTCCACATCCCGGCAACCGTTCAACGCAGTGTCAGTCGCACCCGTTTTGAATGGTAGTTAATGATATCCCCTTAACAGGTGTTGAACCTACTCCATTCCTTATTTAGCACCACTTACTTGGGAAACGACATAGTGTCACTTGTTATAAGCTGGACGCCACTCAACTCGCCGAATATGTGTTTCATTACTTAACGAACTATCGGGTGTCCTCCTTTTCGGATTCTCAACCTCTTGCTATTTTTAAGCTCCCTATATTCAGCGGTTTGTCGTGTTAGTATAATTTTGGTGTTTAACGATTCACGCACCCACTGTCTGTTGCATTTTATTGCAAGTTATTTACTTCCAGAGGATTTATCTTCAATTGACTTAATCCTCTTTCCAAGAATTGGAGCACAAGTAGCTCTTTATTCAGTCAAACCCCTAACCGCTTGCTCCTTTTGGCGTGGATTAATGAGCACTGCTGGCGACGATAACCAGGACTGATTAACAAATTCGCTGGTGACTATGCGGTTATTTCTCATTTGCTTCAGCTCCCAGTCAAGCGTTCGCCACTGCGTCTTTTGACCAACAACACAGCTAATCTCTTTTGCAATAAACCATCTTTTACGCGGTACTCCTGTGCGATTTATAACTTTGAACTTGAGCGAACCGTCCACACTTGCACTTAATACTGTGCAGTTAAGTTTTGGCGGCCACTTAGGATGATAAAAGATCTAATTCGTTTCAAACTTACTGGTGCATAATCTTATTCCATTATTACGTGCGATCGTGGTCTATTGGCGTTACTTTTTCCACACCTTTCCAAGGAGCAGATTTTCACATTCTTTGCTCATGCACTCGCCTATCTTGGATTGTTATATGTTCTCTTTAACCCATAAATGTCAGAAAGTCACTCTTACTTGCAGTCTGAATGATGAAGCTGTCCAACTTCACGGTATCTTTGTGCACCACACTCAAAAATGACTGAGAGCACGATGCCCCCAGAGTCGTGGTGATCCCAAGTCGTCTCAATTTGTGTAATGGCTGCTCGAGTTTACCTCGCCAGTATATGGGTCCGCAAGACGCCACCAAACTTCGAAAGATGTCCGCAACACTACTCCTTGCTACACCATGTCTTGCAGTTATTGGATTCGGGCATTCCACCCAGTTACATCTTACTTTATCTAATGACATATGTGGTGTGTGGGTGGTGCAGATCTAGTCATTCATGGCCCCTGATTATTCGCAGTCGTCTTCTGGCTGTTCCCAGTCTCAGTGACAGGCATTCCCTCATACATGCACACAATTAATTCGGACAATGAGAAATATACAAGCCGGACGCACGCAAGACCGGGGCTTGATCGCAGCCCGTTCCACTTCGGATGGGATCACTCATTGCGCCTAGCATCGTAACGAAACCTGTGCGCTTCGTCTCCCCTGGCAACGATCAACAGTCTCCTGGAACCAATAATCGATATGGTGGTTTTCGACAACTGGGCACCTTCCCAACATTCACATCAAACGCAGCTTCACCGGGGATATCAGCCAGTTAATACATGGTTGGCGGCATCCGGTTTCGGATTTGCCTGTCACTGTGGCAAGCCACAGGACGCCTGCGCCTAGAGAGGGACCATGGATGGCTTGCGCTGCACCACCCACAACTCCAACCACACACCCCATATCCAGTGTAAACCCGAAGGAATAAGACCGGGAGGCATGCGGATGGGAACCACGTTTCATCAACGGAGCCGGCCCACACTCCTTCACAGGCAAACACAAGCACACTGTATTTGGGGAATCAAGCGCACACAAGGCGGTGGCTGGACCGTAGTCCGCTCCACACTGAGTGCATGGAACCACTCTTTGATCCTAACACGGCCACAAGGCCCGTGCACCCCGTCCCCTCCAGCAACGACCAACTGTCTCCTGGAGCCAGTATGGACGAGGTAGTGGGTAATAGACAGGTAGGCACCTTGTCAACATGCACATCAAACGCAGCCACACCGGGGATATCAAACAACAGCCAAACACTTGAGAGAGAGAGAGAGAGAGGAAGAGCGAGAAAGAAAATAACTCGATCGATGCATACGGAAACGGTGACATAAACCTTAACTTAATGAGCATATGAAATAAGTTGTTTACGAACGAATCCTAGATAAGTTCACGAGGTGAGAAAGTATACTATACGGAAATGCCACGAACACGAAAATGTTATGGAAATCGAATACAATTGGCTTAAGCGAGGTGCGCAAGTTAATGGGAGAGAGTGCAGGTAGATATTTATATGAGAAAGAAAAGCATTAAGGCAAAATTGAAAACCCACCACCTGAAATAAAGAGAGTTAGCATGCAAGCACGCGGTTACTAAAAAGAATGCAGCGTATCTACGGACGCTGCGCCGGTTTTGAATACTTCTCTGCAGGACCCGTCGTCGCTTCGGTAGTGGTCCCGAGTGGCCTAGCTCATGGCTCACTAGACGTTAGATATTTATAGGAGAAAGAAAGGCATTAGGACAAAATTGAAAACCTACCACCTGCATGCTAAGTCTCTTTATTTCAGTTAATACATACTATGCAAATAATTACGCAGATACAGACCAACTGCAGTGATGATGTGGCACATGTGCCACCTCTACCACATCATTGGCTTGGCCTACTACTACATGGAATCGGAAACAGCGTACAGCGCACACACAGTTACATGTGCATTATGTCGATGGGCCAGGCTCCGTCGGCATCTGACATTTCGGAAATGCCATATTTCCTTCGAATGCAATCACGCGTCATCATAAACCTGGCCAACACCATTGCTGATGTGAGTACGCCATTTACTTCGATCCACTACCATTGCCTCCCAACACCTGAGGTCAACATTAGTTCGTTGCGATTTCACATCGATCATCTTTTGGTAGCGTAGCCTTGGTTTACCCACGTTCCTCTTCCCTGTACTCAGTTGGCCATATAACAGATGTTCCTAGATTCTAGTCGAATCCATGCGGTGAACATGTCCGCGCCACTTCAGGTGTTGCAGAAACAGGATATAATTCCATAAGTCAAAATGTTGGTGTCTCGGGTTGGGTGTTGAGGTTTTGATTTGCTGGTCCAGCTGAGCAATTCGATTACACACGTCACCAATGGAGATAACATCTTTAGTGCGTGTTGGTGGTCCTGGTGACAGTATTAGCAGTGGCGGTGAGAGCCTTGATGACAGGAGTTGCACGTCACGCAAATCCGGGATGGATGCATTTGGCTGGCAAGCTGATTCTTACATACATTTCAGACGTTTATACTCAAACTCCATCCGGATTGGTTACCTGCTGTTGCATTCAATGACACCTGGGCTTCATCATCATCAGTACACATACACTGAAGGTGAGAAACACACTTCAACCATTATACCGCAATACATAAAGATAAGACGTACGAAAAAGCAAGATACTGAGCGTTCTAGAATGAAAAAACCAACAACACACTACATAGTAAGACATTATAAGCCCAGAGAGATCGTGGATGGAAGGGAAGAGAAGCAAGATGGGGAGGGGCAAAGAAACTCACAGCACAAATACACTGAGCTCGGCTGCTTGCCATGTCAACTGGTGTATTTAACCAGACGTGTTCATCGTCCTTCGGACCCAACCCAAGCAGTTGGGATGGACCAACCGACACCAACTTCTAAGTGAGGGTTTTCCTTTCTTTCGACCAAGTCATCACCTGGCCTCCCCTTTGCTTCTTGCATCCCAGTCCCTATGCGCACAAAAAACGCGCGCCGCGGAAATTGGTAGACTCGCCCAGCGATCGGAACCTGGTGCGTGATTTAACGGTGCCGAGCGGTTCACTCGCTTTTTCTACACCGAACACGCTTCTTGCTCACGCAGTGCTCCCACCAGACATCATCTAAGCTGTAATAGCAGCGATAGTGAAACTTAGCTAGACTGGGAGATTTGCCGATGAATAATTCATCGCCATCCTTCCTACGGACGCATGACAGTCATGGTGTACAAGGTAGAGTATATTGCGACAGAGAAACTGCTCCTGGATGACACACCAACATACCGAAGCATAAAAAGCAACTCAACGTTGCAACTAGCCACTTAAGTGAATCAAACATTGGAAACGCTCCAACTGCTGGATCAAATTACAAGGGAGGAGTGAGACAGAATGAAAGCCAAAATGGTATACCACTGAGGCCCATCGTGTCGATTCCGGGCACGCCCACCTATAACGTCGCTAACAAATTATGTAAGCGACTGGGGCATCTAACCATTGAGCCATAATACTCTATAAACAGTGCCCAACACTTTCTCAAAAACATTACGGACTTGCGAATTGATCGGAAAGAAATAAGGGTACAATTCTACGTCACAGAATTATTCGACTCCATTAATTTGCAAAAGAAGCCATCGTAGAACGTCTGGGTAACCACAATCGAGGAGCTCCTCGACCTGTTTCACTGTCAATGGTATGATCTACGAGCAAGTGAAAGGTGTTCCAACGGGATCCCCAATAGTGCACAAGTGTTTATCGCCCACGTAAGGTATGGTTACTTTTGTGCATATTGATGTGTGCTGCTACAGACACTTTCCCGGATCATGAGAAATATACGTATTATTCTTGTTAAGCCTCATCGCGGAGATTGATGTAAAAGTTAGAAGAAACCTGATCCCAACCGTCATTCCGAAACTACGGCTACGGTACGTGGACGACGTTCGTGATACTCAGACGGAGCCAGATGCAGGCCGCGTGAAACTTGCTCAACAATGAACTGGAGGGAAGTCTTTTCGTAATGGAATTCCAGGCAGAAAGCAAACCCCTTCTTGAACTTATTTGTCACGAGCACATCAGACGGTGAAGTGCAGATCTCGGTTTACAGAAGTGAAGCACATACTGATCAGATCCTGACTTTCAACAGCAGCCATCCGAGTTGTCATGGAATACGCTGCGTGCGGACCCTACTTCGCCGAGTGGAATCCCACTGCAGCATGGTTGAAGCAAAACGAAATGAGGACCAGCATGTCTTAAAACCATTCTTGCGCAACGAGTCTCCACGCCCTTTTGTTCGCAGATGTCTAAATCGTGGAACTGAAACTACCGAACCGACACCAACAAGAAAGAAAGGAGTCGTGTTGCCTGGCCAAAATGGTGACCAGATTACTCCAACCACACCGCGTGATTGTGGCCCACAAGCCAACAGCCACGTTGAGGAAAACCTTGCCAAAACCAAAAGGGAACTCAGAGGCGCACGAACAGCATGTTGTTGTACACAGAGTACAGTGCCAACGCTGTGAAAAAGACTGTGTGGGCCAAACAGGGAAAAATCGTCAGCAAGAATAGCGAAGCACAAACGAGCCTGCAGAAATCTCTATGTAGGGTCGTTTATCTCAACAGGTCGATGAAGAAGGATATCTTTGATTGGAGCAAAACAAAAATTTTACACGCGGGGAAAAAGGCATCAGCAGTACGCCGGTGCGCAGTACCGACGCTTCGTTGCCACTCAACTACTACCTTCGCACTTGGGCTAAGGATACTGCGAGGGTCGCCCGGTCCCTACGCAGGCTTGAACCCGCGGCATAAGATTACAAGACAAGCTTGTTACCTTTAGGCTACGGAGGCTTCTCCAAGTCTGATCTTCTAGTAGGAACTTGCAGAACCTGCGCATTGACCTCGACTCTGACTACCAATAACTCAGAGAGGACATCTAGCTGATTGAAAACACACCCTTAAAACAACCGGAGGCAGCAAAACTATCTTTGTAGTTGCACCCACGACTAATGTTGCTTTACACCAATGATCTTGCGAAAGTCCATCCCCCGTCGTAGCAACCTTTATGGCAACCAATACAACATCTGGCAACCAATCCGGATGGAGCTTGAGTATCAATGTCTGCTATTTTTGTAGGCATCAGCCTGCCAGCGGATTTGTGTGACGCGCAGCTACTGCCATCAAGACCATTACCGCTGCCTCTACCGCTACTGCTACCACTACAACAACTAAAACTACCATCACCACCAGCAACAAGAAACGTCTGCAATCGAAATGCTCAGCTTGGTGAGAAAGTCAGCATCTCTGCATACATTTCCTTCCGTGCATGCTGCTTGGTGACGCATTTCTATGTCAGGAATTCTGTTGCACCATCGGAAACGCAGAATCAGAAGTAATGGTAATGTTCCGAACAGCATATGTCCCTACATTAATGCTTCCATGTATCGCTGTTGTACAGGCGAATCGACAGCATGATTTATTTGTCTACCATCAGTTTAGTTTCAAAATTCGTTCCGCCGCATCCCATGTTCCAGCTTGCCGAAAGCCGTACATGCCTTCGGTTCGTGAGTGCGCAACTCACTGATAATCTACAAGTCTGCTGACATCACGCTTCTGAGGCTGCAAACTTTTGATGCGATCTTCAAAGCTTAGCATGCAATTTTGATTTGCGGTCAACCCACGGATTACACTCCTGGTTATGTCTGAAATAGACAGACTATCTTATCTGTGTTGGTGGTGTGTCCGAACTTGGCCGCCATAGTCATACATTGTAACTCATCGTCGCTGTGTGAAAACAACGCGCAATCTTCCGCAAACAACTGCATCCGGATAGTTGTCTCAGTAACTCAGGTTCTCGCCCCGAAACGATGGATGCTCAGCAACCCCCCATCGTTACGGTGTTCGATACCGACCCCGTACTCGCAAGCATTGTAAGCAGTTAACATCATGACAGTTAAGTAAATATTAAACAGAGCAAGGGCTAAAACGCAGCCCTGCCTCACACCACAGACAACATCAAAGTCATCCGAGGTTTGTCTACATAGCTGCACTCTCGCCCACCTACCACTGTGCAAGCATTCAATTAGTCTCAAAAAGTTACTCGGACAACCAACTTACCCAACACCAACCACAGTGCCTTACGGTTTACTTTGTCAAATGCCTTGGTGAAGTCTACCAACAGCGAGTGCAATGGCTAGTTTCGCTTCCGAGCACCACATCTGTCGTGCTGCTGCCTGAACGGAATCCATACTTCTCAGCCACGTTTGGTTCAAGGAACTCAGGGACGAGGCGGTTGAGCAGGATTCGTGCCATCACCTCCCCGACGCGACTCAGCAAGTTGATGCCACAATAATTCGTGGCACATCTCTTGTTTCCTTTATTCACGTACATGAGTGCTATTCCTGATTCACTTGCAAGAGGGATTATTGGATTTACTGTTTTCATCTCAGAGTACTGCAGAGGTACTTCCGTGCTTCCATGTTTATTAATCAGTCCTACAACAACTTGTGTTCTTTGGCTGGTTTGATTTTGGGTTCCTGCTCTACCCACTCGTCGGCGTCGTTGACTGTTCTTGGTATGTCGTTAGGTTCAAGAATTCTCGACGTTTGCATGCTCCATAGTGATCGTGAATCGCCTTCATCTCCACCTCTGACATGTCTCCAAGTGCACTCTGAGTCAGCCCTACTTGCTTGGCTCTTTCTGAAACACGTAAAGAAGCAAACTTTACTAATGCTCAGCCATGCTAAATCGTGCTTCCCACCTGTTCATCTAGGTACACCTAGCTCTTCTTCATGCCTTTGTTTTTGCGGTTCAATGATGGTGAGATCCTAAATCTATTTACTGCTATGGTTTGCATGCCTTCACTAGCGATTTGGAAATTCCAAATTCTTCGGAGTTATTCTCACCGAACAGGTCATGGATTACTGACCAGACTAAGACCGTACCAACATTCCATCCAGACATCCGAGACAACAGTCTAAGCTTGTGGTTCCCAACCTTTTTGTGGCCGTTACCCCTAAAGCGGGTCCAATACAATTAATTGTCCATAAAACAGTCTGAAAGACAAATTAACTACTAGCTATCGCACGGTTTTGCTTTAACTTATGAAAGATTTCTTTTTTTATGCAGTTTTTTTAAATTAAATCCAGGCATTGTAACCTAATGAGTCGGTTGATAGTGGTTAGTTTTAATAATTTATTTAACGTTTGGTGCAGTTTCAGTTACTGTACATCATAAATCATGCTCCAAATTAAAGCAGTCCCTTGCTCTTTTTTCATTAACAATGTGGAAAATCCACTTTCCCGTCTGCACGTTTGGCGAATGGAATCACTATTTTTGATGCTTTTTGCAATTCTGATGGACATTCGTCACCAATATTTGCCCAAAATGTTGTTGCTTATACGTTTTCGATAGTCCTTTTTGGTGGGTTGCTTACACAAAGGTCGAGGAGTTGTGCTTTAGCTTCAGTTTCAATACCTGGAAATATTCCTTTATCTATCCATACATTTACTTAACCATTTTCCAAATCAGGAAAATATTTGCATACAATTAATTAGCTCACTTGATTTTGCTGCACGGCCGCAAAACCATGTTGTGTTCAAGCGTTTTTTGCAATCTGTTACATCAACCTCTCACGTGCAGGGATTGGTAATATGGCGGCGAACGACTACCTGACAAACGAATAACGATCGACGAGCGAGCCGCTAAACGAGTCATCTAGCAGTGGTATGGTGCAACCTTGTATTCGTATTCCAGTTAACGACATTTGGTTACCTGCAGATCACAAGTGATTGCACGTGAAACTCTGCATCCATACTCAGCAGTTGGGTCTGGATATTAAGCTAAAGGCTCAAGCTGAGCCATCTAAGGCGAATTTCTCTCTTGTGGAGGAGACTGGAGCTATCACATATTTTCTCTATCCGGATCAAATTCTGTGTAATCTGTCAGCGCTTAGTTGGCTCAGTGGACACTTTATCAGTGAATTCAAATATGCTAACTTTTAGTCCAAATCACACTCTTTTCCTTTGTGCGTTGTACCCACACACATCAAGTCTAATCCCATTGATCAACGTAATTTGTTTCCCTTCTTCAGGTTGAACGGTTCATATGAAGCTCTCAATGTTGGTTTGGTTGGTGATGCTATGGATGACCTAACAGGTGGCTTGACAGAATCCTATACCCTTCCTTCTGCTGAAGAGCAAGGGGCTCAGCCTCCGCCAGATCTCGACGATATATTGATCAAGGCTTTTGACAGACGTTCGCTCCTTACTGCCCGGATCAAAGTAAACCGTTTTTTATTACGGTTACCAGCACTTTTCGTTTCGGTACCTCACAGCACTGTAATGACAGTCATTTACATACCGATTTTCACACCGTGCTCTTTCAATCACTCCAAGCAGCTTTTAATCCCGCTGGCAGTCGATTGCTTCTTTCTTAGTCGATACCTCTCTCTTCGGCTACGGTCGATGGTTCTTCCTAGTCGATTAATGATCATGTGTGATTCGGTTCTTTCAGACTCCACCGGTGTGCAAGTTCTACCGGGTGACCGACTGAGAAACCGCGAGTATGCGGACGACATAGCTCATTTAGTATCCGATGCATTGGCTATACACACACCACTGGATGGACTGACGCGTGGCGCTGCACGCTTCAGTGGGTACTTTGCACATTCAGCCATCGCAGTGAGACTGGACCTTACCGGGGTGCGATGGTTTGCGTCACTAATACATTCATTCATTATACACGCTAGCTGCAGGTGGAAAACACCTCAGCTGTGGTGCCGCAATACAAAAGAAAAAGTGAGAGGCACGCCGACAGAGTCACCAGTAACGGATGGACATCGTTCCGGAGAGCTAACAGCCGGCTATTGTGCCGCAAAAAAGTCATATTGTGCCAAATAAATGAGATCATGGTTGGAGGGAGAGGCTAAGCGGAGGGGGATGGACACAGGAATTCACAACACCAACGCCACTGAGGTCTGCTCCTAGCCATGTCAACATCAAACACGCTCATTGTCCCCACGGTGTTCCCAACATATATGAACGCAACTGCGAAGACATCGGTTGTCTAACGTAACTAGTCCCTTTATGTCGACTGATTTCATGGACCAGGTTTCACAACCGTAAAGTAGGTTCGCATGTACGGCTATATTGTATACTCTACCCTTCAGGGAGAGAGTGAGGTCGCGCTGGCGCCATAGTTGATGAAGGTTAGGAAAAGCGCCTCGAGCTTTTGCTGTACGCTTTGTGACCTCGCCTTCAATTCCAACGGCGCTGATACAACTACCTAGGTAGTTAAACTTTTGAACGACTTCTAGCTGATCCCCACCAAGGGTCAACGCAGGAGGTGGTCCCTGCCAGTCTTGAAGGAAAGCTTTACACTTGGAAGGTGCATAGAATAGCCCGAAACAGTTGACAGCCAGTGCTAATCTGTCCAGTGCCGCTTGGTACGTTTGGGAGGTGCCACAGATAAGCGAAATTTCATCGGTATATTCCAACTTTGCGTGCCTCAGCGATCCATTGAGCTATGTTGGGTGGTGCTTCTTTTACCTTCGAAGCCACTCATACCAGGTTAGTCAAAGGTTAGAGGCGAGACAAACTCAGTCTCCTGGCCCTCCAGGTTGGGGTTGGAATGAGGGTTGCTCCTTATTCGTTAAAATGGGCTCCTTGTAGTCCACTGTCAAACCGGTTAGGTTTTTGAACTAAAGGCTTTGGTTGAGAACCCTAATTGTTCTCCTGTCTAGGCCTTGGCAACTTGGCGGTATCCTGCCCACGCGATATTATGAATCTTTACTCAAACAAATTTCTTGATGCTCTGGCCACCGCAGGGGATAATTAACTGTGCCCTATCCGCTGCATCGAGTAGGCTGGATAGGGACTTAGATGCTACTGCTCAAGCTTTCCCGCATTCTTATCCCCCCTCTTACGCTTTTTTGCCCTTCTCGTCCTGTTCCAACTTCACTTTTATCCCATCTGTTTTCAACCCCCAATTGTTGGCCCTCCCCCACCATGCTCTGATAGTCGTTTATCTCCCAGTTTCCTGCCCCATGCTGAGTCTGATGTTGCCTTCAGGATGCTTCACCGCAGTTGGGTTAAAACCAACTTACACTTAAACTAGGTCTTTTTAAGCTGGATAAATTTTATTCCACCTTACTTGGTTTGTTCTGCCTACCTGAATAATCTTCTGTTAACTTGCACACGTTGCTGGTGCTAATTTTGCTTATCTTCGCTAACTTTATCGCGTTTGTGGCATTTTCTGAATAACTTGTGAACCTTTTGTACTTATCGCGGATTCGTTGCTGGCCAACTTACTTCATGTGCTAATTTAGCGAGGAGTTATGTCGGCATAGCCGTATGCTTTAACGGATATGTTTTATTTGATAATGTTATTTCAAGTGATTAGCTGTTGTTTTACATCCCCGGTGTGGCTGCGCTTGATGTGCACGTTGACAAGGTGCCTACCTGTCTATTACCCACTACCTCGTCCATACTGGCTCCAGGAGACAGTTGGTCGTTGCTGGAGGTGACGGAGTGCACGGTCTTTTTGGCCATGTTAAGACCAAAGTGTGGTTCCATGCACTCAGTGTGGAGCGGACTACGGTCCAGCCATCGCTTTGTGTGCGCTTGATTCCCAAATAGAGCGTGCTTGTGTTTGCCTGTGAAGGAGTGTGGGCCGGCTCCGTTGATGAAACGTGCTTCCTGGTCTTATTCCTTCGGGTTTACACTTGATATGGGGTGTGTGGTTGGAGCTGTGGGTGGTGCAGTGCAAACCACCCGTAGTCTCTCTGTAGACGCAGACGTCCTGTGGCTGGCCACAGTGACAGGCGAATCCGAAACCGGATGCCGCCAACCATCTATTTTCAACTTACATCCAAACGCGGAGCGTCACTCTTGCCCTATCGACAAACCCATGCCTAACCAAGCGGCCAAGCCCAGTTCATCGGTTTCTATTTGAAACCCCCGCTCCTCCCTCAGATTGGCATGCCTTAAGGTACGCACAATGTTAAAGCTCGGTCAACAGGCGGCACTTGCCAGAACATTAGAGAGCCTGTCCATCGATATCTGCTGCCTATCGGAAACCCGCCTACAAGGCCGGAGCTCTGTTCTCACTTCGACCCCCTTCAGGTGACACGATCAGCACTTTCTCATTGCGCCTATCCGGTGACGATGCAGATTCGAGTACTGGCGAAACCAGCGTTGGTATTACCCCGAGTCCCCAGACTGAAACTGCCATGGTTGATTGGATCCTTATCAGTAGCCCGATGTGTGCGGCCCGACTGGCTGGATCGTTCAAAGCTTCCAAGTCGCGCGGGGCTAATAGGTGTCTGTTTGTCATCGCTGCCCACGCCCCCCACAAACTGTAACGATGCCGCTGTAAAAGACGACTTCTATCGTCAACTGAACGATCTCATTCTCCACAGATGAAACACGAATACTGTAGTGCTTGCTGAAGATCTGAACGCTCAAGTTGGGATATTGTCCACCGATGAGTTGCAAAAGTACGTGACGCTTTTGCTAGCCTTCGTCACCTATGGCGCCGGCGCCATCTCACTTCTTGAAGGGTAGCGTGTACAATACAGCCGTACGTTCGAACCTACTTTACGGTTGTGAAACCTGGCCCATTAGATCAGCCGACATAAAGGGACTAATTACGTTCGACAACCGATGTCTTCGCAGTTTGGCTCATATTTGTTGGGAACACCGTGTGAGCAATGAGCGTGTTCGATGCTTTGTTTATGGTGCAGGGACAAGAAGCGAACCCCTGAGCACCGTTATTTCACGCACCAGGCTCCGACGGCTGGGGTACCTGTTGCGCATCTCAGCCCACCGACTCCCACGACGTGCGTTGTTTGCTCGCCAGGAGTGTGGATGGAAGAAGAGGAGAGATGGCTAAGCGGTGACTTGGTCAAGAAGAATGAAGGCTCTTACTTCGAAGTTGGCCTCGGTTGGGGCCTCTCGGCTCCCTGGTTGGAGACCGAAGGACGATGAACACGTTTAGCTGGATACGCTGATTGATATGGTTAGGAGGCGACCTCACTGGCGCTTGTGTTGTGAGCTTCTTTGTCCCTTGTCATCCCGCTTAGCCTCCCCTTCCAACCACGATCTCATTTATTTGGCACAATATAACTCTTCTTTGCGGCACAATAGTCGACTGTTAGCTCTCCGGAACGATGTCCATCCGTTACTGGTGACTCTGTCGTCGTGCCTCTGTCTCACTTTTTTCTTTTCTTTTGTATTGTGGCACCACAGCTGTGATGTTTTCCACCTGCAGCTAGCGTGTTTAAGGAATGAATTGCACATTCAAAGTGCAAAGTATTGTTGCAGGCTTGGACCGATAGGGCACCAGTTCTAGCTGTCAACGAACAGCTACTGGAAGTGGGGTGTCTGTTAACTTACCTTGGTAGCTGTCACCACTGTTAGTCACACCACTGAGGTGGTTGCTTCGCGTATCACCAAGAACCATGTGACTTACCGCAGGCGTCTGAGGGCGCGTAACGCTACGAGAAGGCCAGTGTTACTGCATGGTTCAGCTACCTGGCCAGTTCGAAGTGAGGACATTAAACGTTTGGCCGCGTTTGACCCCCGGTGCTTTCCGAGCGTTGCTAATGTCTGGTGGGAGGATCGCGTGATCAATGTTGATGTGTGCCAGTTGGTTTTTGCCAAGACGTTTTCTGGTGCTTCACTCGGATGTTTGTTGAATCTTAACCGCTTACATTGGCTAGATCATGTCCTCAGTAATCGTCCTCGATGTGCTACATACGCTGTAGCTTCCCAGGCTAGTTGAAATCGCGAGGTGACCAGTCCATGTGGTGGCATAAAGGCCTGAAGTAACTGACCGAGATACTTGGTCAGTCTGGTGTATGCCATCTTCCTGGATGGGAGTTTCGGGATGGTCCACACCAGTGGTTGAAGGCCGTATCCGACTTGGCGCAGTCGCGCTGTCAGCGGCGTTCCTGCATTCGGTTTCCTGCATCTATTGGTTAATTTCATTTCGTCTTGATTAGTTTAACACACCTCCTACTTTCCGCGTATTTTATATACCCGATTAGCTGTTGACATGTTCTCACTAGACGTCAGCTTTTGGTAGCCAATCGTTTTATTTCTGTGTGGCCAGCAAACATTATTATTGCCCTATCTGTTTACAAATAACTAACAACTACCTTAAAATGGTTGCCTTTCGCCTCATCTTCCTTGTGATACACTGTGTCCTTATTTGCTCACAGAATAACAATTTTGTTGCTTTTGTGCAACGATTGAATTGTTTTGGTGTTTTTTGTAAATTC